GCACGGCCAGAGCGTAGAAGCTTCTTGCCCCATAACCATGAGAAGCAAAAAAATAAATTTAAAAAAGCTTCATTGACAATACCACGGGTCGCACAATAACCTTTTAAGCATTAACAGGAGCGCTAGCGTAAGCTTCAGTGGTTTTGATTAAGAACTTTCTTCTCAGCCTAAAGTTAGTGTTGCTCCAATTCTAGTAACAGCAGTAGGAACGGTTTTTAAAATAGCAAGTCGGTGCTGCTTTGTGGAGCCTGGGTTTCACCTGTCTCCCTGAGACTAATCCCAGGTGTTGAAATTTTAATCTTGCAGTAGTTGCTGGGACTTTGCTCTTTGTTGTGCCTGCTACAATCTGGTGAACTGTTCCAGTAAGAGAGATTTTCTTATATGTCCTGACAGAATACGGGCGTGTGGACGAACGGTGGGGTTCAGTGGCCACCATGGGCTGCGGCAGCGCTTGGCTGTGGGGAGCAGGCTGTCTGGCAAAGTCTTACTCCCAGCTCAGTAGCAGCCACCTGCCACGAGTACAAGAAAACTGAATGCTGTCTTAGAGCACGTGAAGGATTGTTCCCAGTAGCAAGGGAAATGACTGGTCCCAAAAACCTTGTAATTTTTCTGGTGGTGAATATATTTTCTTGCTCTTCAGAAACAGAAAAAGAGTGTAAATGTATTCTGTCACCCTATGTGTCTGAAGGGCCCCTGGCAGCCCCTTCTCTGCCTCACTGCAATCAGTTTTGGTCACCTCTCCTGGGATGTGAGCCTGCTTGCTCACCACATACTTAGTGGCGCTTTGTAATCTTTGAATGTCTTTTCTTCACTCCTTTGCTAACCTTGTTTATTCTGTTTCCTCCAAATTTCTCTCAAAACCCAACTGTTTCTCTCAAGCGATTTGCTAATGTTGTGGTTAGTGGACCTGAGGCAGTGTGGAGTGCGGTAATCCCGCAGGCGTACATGAGTGCAGAGCTGTGCTTGTCTGCTGAGATTTTGGAGTACTTTGGTGTGCAGGCTGGCTCCTTGGCTGGAAATTTGTCAGAGCTAACGCCCTGCTGAGGATGAAGGGTCCCATCTTTCTTATATCGAGACACCCCAGCTCCACCTGCTACTTGTGAAGGGTGAGTTGAAACAGTGGCTCTCTGGGTGTGGCCACCGGTAGAGAAAGAAAAGCTGCTGTGACTCAAGGTGATCAGGCAGAAGGGATGTGCTTTGGAGGAGGTAAGATGTTGGCAGGAGTCATTAAGGTATTTTTTGGCTTTTTTGGAAGAAGGATTTTAACTGTAGCTGTTCAAAGTGTGCAGGTAGAAATGGTGAGGTATTATGAGGAAGGCAGCTAAAGGCTTTATTTGTTTCTGAAGGGTAAGGTCATAGTCTAATTGAAATAACAAGTGGATGTATAGTTTCTGTTTAGAGACTACCAAGGGGCTGGTTGTTTTTTGGTACCTCTCTGGCTGTCTGAGCTTCGAGTGCCTGTACGGACACTCGGACACACCTGACATCTGCAGGCTGCTCTGCAAGTCATCGGGAACTTGTAGGTCAGGCTCTGTTAGTGCTGGACGTAGGCAGGCAGGACAGGGGAGCGAGAAAATCCCTCTGGGCATGGGGTATGGGTGGTGGAGTCAAACAGCTGTGAAGAGTTGGTATGGAGAGCGGATGGTGCTGGGGGTATGGAATGATGTGCTTGTGGGTTTTCTTTTATATGGTGTTTCCTTCAGTGAGATCTGACATCTTGCTTCTGCTAAACTGAAAATGTTGAGGGTTGGGTGAGAAATTGCTAGAACCTTCTGCTTTTTTAAAGTATCTCAACTTTGCACTGAAGTACGTGTCTCTCCACTGCACGTGTCCCACAGTAACTTTCATTATTTCTCTGTGAGGGGCTAGTAATGAAAGCTTCTGTTTAGCTCCCAGCCATTCCTAGACATTCAGTGGGGCGAGCTCCGGACAGCAGGTGCCTGGAGGCAGTGCTGTGGGTTTCCCACGCGTTCTCATGGTGTGCGGTATGCTGCATGTCAAATAGGGATGATGAATAGGGCTGTCTGGCTGACTTTCTGGAGTTAAGTTCCTAGTGGGTGCAGGAGAAATGTTTTCTCTTCCTTGTCACCTGTGGCCAAGGGAGGGTGTGGGCAGAGCAGGGAGGGGTGGAGGGGAGCGGTGGGGAAGTGTCAGTTCTCACCCTTTGGAAGCCAGCCAGCAGTACTGCTGCTCTGGCTGTTGGAGGAACTGTGCCTGCAGAGCCCTGGAAAACCGCAGTACTGAGACATGATTTGTGTGTCGTCTCTTGGTTGAGGTGGTCTTACTGTGTAGAGACCAGGTGAAAAATCCCCTGCTGGTGTTCACTGCCTGAAGAAGGAGAGAGAGCTCTCTGTGGTGTGATGTTCAGGTGATCAGTCACGCCGGGACTGTGTTGACAGCATGCTTTGACATCGGGGGGCCAAACCCAAACGAGGGTTAGTGTTCCTGGAGGCAGGGCAAGGCGACAAGACGGTGTGTGTCAGGTGGGGACTTCCCAGCCCTCCTGTTCATCACTATTCTGGTTACTGCTGTCTCACCCGTGTGTAGTACCGATCCGTCCCACAGTGACTCCAGCAGGTGTATCCCAGAGCAGAGAGCTGTGTTAGCGCCGATTGGTTCAGCACTGCTGGAGGTGAGTTTCTGGAGCAAAGCCGCGCAGTGTGCTCTGCCCTCGATGGACGGTGTTTGCACAGATGGATAAGAAAACTGCACTGTCAGTGGTACAGAGCTGTTCTTTCTCTGCTCTTCCTGTCGATGCAGTCATTGGTAGTTTCTGAAGATGGTAGGCACCCACGTGCCTTCCTCCTTAAGTACCTGGCTATTTTCCAGTTAATTTTTTTCCTTAATCCTGAATTTTTGTGGCATTTAAAAGTATAATCACATGCTTCAAACCAACACACTGTGCCCTGTACTCAGCAGTGCTGTCGCTCGCTTCACGCTGGGTGCTCCTTTGCACTGCCTCCCCTTCCCAAAAATGTGATTAAGTCCTACCTCGTGCACTTTGCGTGACCCAGACTATCTTTTGGGGCTATTGTTACCTGTGGTCTATTGCATGACTATACGGTGGTGGTGCTGCTGTACCTCTTGCAGCATTACAGCTCGTTCAAAAACGTGCTTGAGGTTTTTGATCTCTGTTGTTAACATGCTTTGAAGTAATAGCCACGGAGGACCTTAGTTATAATTAAAAATATGGGGGTCATCTATGTACATTGGGTTTGGGTGTTAATTTTTCAAGTCTGCTGGAGCCAAGATGCTCTAGTCTGGGTGTGGTTCTGGATGTGTCCTGAGAACTTCTCCACAGAGGTAAAATGAGTGTAGATGGCTGGAAGCAGATCGCTTCTGGCTTTGCTGTTCCTGAACTCTTTCTGAGGGCGTTGGTGGAGGTGCTTGGCTACCAGCCCAAGCACTAGTCCTGCCTGATTAGCCATACCTGTGGTCAGAAAGGTTATGTGTTTCTTACAAGCAGCAGATGAATGTTCTTGGTCCCATTTTCAGGACAGACCTCAAAGAGCAGTTCCAGCTGCTGTTGCTGGGAGTGTGAGATTAGGTGTGTACCAACTTCTGGTTTGTTTGCCGCAGAAGGGCTCCTTGGCTCTTCCACCATGCCAGAGTTCATCTTCTCATCTCGGCAGAGAGCAAGAGGGACGGGCAGATGCGGGTGGTCCTCCTCTTGTCCTCACTGTTGCCTGCTTTCTGCTGCTCTGTAAATAGCGGGCTCTTTCAGGAACTCCCATGTAAGTATCTGGGTGTTTGTGACTGTCCCGACAGACTGAGCTGCTTGGGGTGTGCAGTGGCCCACTGGTCTGAGCGTCGCCGCTGGTGCTTCTCGCCTTGCTTGCAAGTGGGGGCAGCTGAAGACTTGTGACAGTGTGAGCAGCAAGGGCTGCAGCCCAGGAGCTCCCTGTTGGGGAAAGGGATACGAAGTGGTTGAGACAAAAGCTGCTCACCAGCAGCTGAATCATCGTATGCACTTAATGTTGTATGGATTTCGAATTATTAAATGATTCAGATGAAAAAATATAGTGCATCAGGCAGTATTTTTTGCTAACAGTTGACGTTTTATGGTATCGCTTTCTGTTAAAGTTTAAATTGAAAGACAGATATCAAACTGATCTCAGGGTGGTTAACTGCTGCAGAGGGTAAAAGGCAGCAAATTGCCGTTTCTGGTGATAAAGTGTTTGCCATCATACTGAGACTGAAACATTTTGCTTGAGGACAAGGCTTGAAACAGAATTAATAGAAGTGGGTGTAATAGAGCGTGTTACCTCTCCCTCCAGACTTGTCCTGCCTGTGCTCCTAGACTGCTATGGCTACAGCAGAGTACCTGCATTGAAAATTTACGTGTGTGTTGTGAAGGAGACCTTTAATAGTGTTTTTAAAATGACCGCAAAATATCTTTACAAATAGAATAATTAGTTTTCAACAAAATTATAGCATCTTTTAAACTCTGTAACACACTGTTGGAGTTGAAATTAATTTATGTAAAATTGAAGTTAATTTGGCAAAATTAAACTTCTTTTAATACAGAGTTGACTAACTGAAAGGAATTTTTATAAAAATCGTTTATGGGGACTTTGACATTTCAGTTTAAGGAATTTTTCTACCTTTAAAAATGTCAGTTATTCAGGCACTGCATGTAGTCTTTCCTATAAATTTAAAGGACTTATCCCCAAATGGGACTTTCCCTAAAATAAATTGAGGATAAAAAATATGTGTGTTCTGCTGTTTCTGTTTCTTGATTCTGTATAAGTGGGAGAAACACTTAAGCTGCTTTACAGGCAACTTCTGTAGCTGTTTGTTCTCTTCCTTCTGTCGTTGACTTTAGAAGGATAAATGCTTTCAATACTTTTCTGAAAAAGCTGCAGAAATACATATTTCTGTAAAAGAGTCAGTGAGTATCAGAGTAATGTGAATTTGCACAAGTTTTTCTGCATGTACTGCAAATTGTAAAGGGAAACGCATTGCAAACTTTGCTCTCAATGTCTTTTTTGCCTTTCTAGCCTCCCAGCTGAGAGACTGAAAGTGTTGGCCTGCCTGAACAAACTGAGACAGCAGCACGTGGACATCATGAAGGTAGCCCCAGCGTGCGTGGGAGGACATCGCTTGCAGGGCCTTGCCTTCACTGCACCGTCTCCCCTGTCTGTCTGTCTCCCCTCCTTTTGGCTTGGTGGTGCCAGCTGGTGCTGTGGGCAAACTACGAGCCCTTCTCCTTGGTAGCGGGTGATCTTTGAAAAACCACAGTAACCAGAGAACTTGTTAAAATCATCAACTGAGAGCTTTATGTGGGCACCTGGTGGTTGTGAGAGAGTGACTGAGCAGAGGAGCTGTTTGAAGCTGTTGAGAAGCTTCTCTTTGTGTAGAGCCTCCCCACGTTATTTGTTTATTAGTTTAGCCCCAGGCCTGGGGTGACAGACTCCTCCTCACTTGCTCTGTTTACCTTGTCCAGCAGTTTCTCACAGTGGTGGATGTTGGTTTAACTTGGGCCAAGGCTGCACGCCTTCCTTTGTAGTCTGCACATCAGCGAGAGCCCTGTCAGCTTAGTGACCAAGAATAGAGAGAACACGGGAAAACCTGATTTGCCTCAGTATTTTACCAGGATATGTGTGTGATGAAATAGTTTTATCTGATGTTCTGAGGCAAGGATTGAATGTGCATGTTTATCTTCTGTAGTAAATCACTGTAGTTACTCAGATGTCTCTTAAAAAACATGCTTAGGGATGATCAGGGAGTGCTTCTTTCATATTTTGGTTATCTTGGGTTGCATTTTGTATTTTGAAAAAGGTAAGAATCGCAATTTTCACTCTGCAGAATTTCACTTGATTTTAGAAAACATGAATAATGTCAGAGCAAACACTTCCTACTGGATATCTCAGATGTGGTATTGCAGTATCCTGGTTTAACTGGGATAGCAGATTAATAAAGACTGGGTTTCTGGAGTATTAAGTTTTGGAATTACACAGGTGCAGATAACATTTTTAGAGATTTTGACTTTAATTCCCTTGCCCTTTGAAATATGCAGCTTTGTCTTTTTTGATGTCATCCTTAAGTAGTTCTCCAGGGTAAATCTTGATGTAGGGTAGGCAGGATATGGCTATTTTACAGGAGAAAACAAAGCAGTCACCCTCTCCCACAAAATACCTGACTGTTCTAGATATCCTTTACCTTGGTGCCTGTTTCTTTTCAAAGTCAAATTTTAATTACACTATTGTTTGTCTTTTGTAGGTTTTTAACGATCCGATTCATGGGCACATTGAAATACATCCACTTCTTGTTCGCATCATCGACACACCTCAGTTTCAGCGCCTCCGATACATTAAGCAGCTGGGTGGCACTTACTTTGTTTTTCCAGGAGCCTCTCACAACCGCTTTGAACACTCTCTAGGGTAAGGTGACATTGTCTTGCACATCTCTTGCGTTTGGATTTCTCTGTGTTTGGTTTCACTAAAGTGTGAGTGCCAGCCAAGGGACATTGCTGTCTTTGAGCACTTCTACGGTGGCATTTCTGCTCTCACAAATGTTCTTGGCTATGCTGTGTGATTATGGGCAGTTCCCTTGGACTTCATTTAGTAAAGGCAGATAAAGAAACCTAAAAGATGAATCAGTGTTAGGTTTCCTCCCCAGCCCCCTTCTTCTTCTAAGAATAATGTTAATTAAAAACTGAGTGCTTTATGTTCTCCCAGGTCGAAATTTCAGTTTTAAAGCTTAAACCTGGGAAGGGTACTGGAGCTGCTATAAATGACTCGCCAGACAGTTGTAATCGCCTTGTACTGTCCAGTACAGCTAAAACCCATTTTATCTGCAGTGTTTGCATTTGTGGTTACGTGTGCTTTCTGCAGTCCATGGCAGGTTGTCAAGCTGTTAGCTATAATAGAAGTTAAACAGCGACAGATGATGGATAAGTATTCCCAGAGTGTTGCTAGGTCATTCATACTCTACAGAGAAGCTGATTTGTGACAGATTTGAGCTTGTTTTAAAGTTATCTCCCAAGGTGCACAGGAATTAAACTAGTCAGTGGTTTTTATTCAGGTGATCTGTTTGGCCTAAAGTTCCTTTTGTTAGTGCTGAAATATTGTGGAGTAAGTCTGGCTTCTGCCTCTGCTCTGTGACATTGACAAGATGCCAGTGTCTGTTGCGAAAGGGTGAAATCAGCGAGGCAAGCTGGAATTGATTGCACCAGGTAAACATGAAAAGGCAGAAATGTGGGAGATATAAACAAAGCTTTTAGAACAGAAGTCTGAAAACTCCAGTGGTATCAGCAGCCTTTTATTTTAAATCGTTCAATTAATCTATATAGTTAAACTTAGGACAGTTGTTCTCAACTTGTATATAAATTTGAAGATTTCTATAGTGTTAAAATAGAAGAAGTGAGCTTTGTGTGCTTATTGGTCTATTGCAAAAGACACCAAACAGTAAAATTTGGTCTAATAAAAGATACTACCTCATCGTATAAAACTGTGTCTGGCTTTAAGATGTTCTGCAAGGGGGACTGTTGAGACAAGTAGAAAAGGAAGTTGCTGTAGAGCTTGTGAACAGCTTACAGGAGTATGCGCTGTGTGCTCATTCTCCTAATTCAGTGAAATTAAATGTCAAATGTAAAATGAATTAAAGGAAGAGAAATAACTGTCATAAGCTGTGGCTAAAACAGCAATTTGAAAGAAGAGCGAAATGCTTTGGTGCCTGTTGTGGACCTTTGCGCTTGCACTGACTGGAGGTCGAAGGATGATGTGTGAGCTGCGGTGCTTCGAGATGCACGGTCAGTCGTGCACTGCTGTTCACTGACACAGTTACTCCATGGCTGTGTGTTACAAAATACACAGGTTGCTGTTGTCTCCATGTTTTGGGCATGGTATCTCATGCTTTTTTTCCTTTCAGCTGTGTTACTGATGACTAAAACTCTACTACAGGAAATAGTCTGTGATTCTCTTGCAGGTCAAAGTATTTGTTGTGTGCTACCTCTCAGACAAGGGTGGAGCAAAATAGAATAGATGAACTGCTCTTTTTCTCAAGCCTAAAGCTACTATCTTTTTTTTTTTTTTTTTTTTTTCTGCAACAGTGTGGGCTACCTGGCGGGATGTCTGGTTCGTGCACTGAAGGAGAGACAACCAGAACTGGACATAACCCAGCGAGATATCCTCTGTGTAGAAATTGCTGGGCTTTGTCATGATTTGGGTAAGCAACACTTGAGATGGCTTGTTACTCTTTGAAAGCTAACCTGGATGAAAAGCTGGCTGCAAGATCAGAACGTTTGAGAGCTGTTTTGGGCTGCTCAGTGTGTGGCCATATTCCGAGACAGGATTTATCTGTTCTTGTTCAGTCCAGAGTATGTCTGCAGAGGCAACTCCACTTGGTCAACCTGTAGCTACTCTTAGCTAGTTTTTTTCTTGTTTCCATATGGTGTGAAGTGTCCGCTTCCTTCTGTAATGTCCTCAGGTCTCGTAAAACATTTCAAAGTGAAAATTAGTGGCCCTTTCAAAAATTATGATTATTTTATGACGAATTATTTTCTTCAGAGCTGGCACGGAATAATTAATGTTCTCGGTGTTACTGCAGTACTTGCCTGTGGCGTTGGTAATGGAAATGGCTTTGTTTAGTGCAGTAGTACTTACAGTGTCTTACGAAAGTGTAAGCTGAGATTTGCTGTAGCTGAATCTTCGTCAGAGATGATGTCAAGATCAAGTCAAATACAAGAGAATCCAGATCCTTAGCTTGCTTCAAATATTTTTACTGACAACCATGTCTCAGATTAAACCTGTTGTAATCTTTTATTTTTAAGGTCATGGACCATTTTCACACTTGTTTGATGGAAGATTTATTCCACTCACTCGTCCAGATTTGAAGTGGAAGGTAAGCTTTTCACTATTAAAGTGAAAATAGAAAACTGAAATGTCTAATGGGAGAGTAATTAATCATCAAAGACTGCCAGTGCTTGTGAGAATATAGTGATCATTTAGCCTTTTCTTATTGCATCATTTTGATGGCATAATGAAAAACCAGAATGTTGTCTTCTAATCTTGTGATGATTTCCTTGTTGTTCTCTTTAACTCTTTGTTTGGGGAACGTCAGCCCCCTCAGTGTGGCCGTGAGCAGATGCAGCCTTACTAGCAAAGCAGAAAGAGGTGTGAGGAGACGTAAGTGAGGGCAGTTGTCTGTCACCAGCATCTTTTCCCCACAAGTGTTGTCCCAAAAGTGGGATCGTTTACCTGGTGTGCAAAATGCCAGTATACACACACAATTGAAGTGTTTCATTTACTTGCTGTTTTGCATGAGATAGGGTGGTAGGTGATAGCTCCACAAAGCTAGCACACCCTCGTTCTGTATACATCAGGTTATATACATTTCAGAGAACAAAGAAATTACTTTTCATTGGTCAAAAGTTGCTAAGTGATGTTATTAATTAATACTCTACCTTCTATTTGTCAAATTGTCCTTCCTTGCTATGTAAATTAGCAGGCATGCTACATGAAGGTGGGGGGGGCAAGCCCTTCTGGTCCTGAATTGAGTTGGTGTTTGCCATGTCCCCCTGCCAGCTTTACCCTTTGCCCAGTTACTCTAAAGAACTGCTGACTTCATGCTTCCTTTGGTCATCATCTGACTTTCAGTGCCTTCTAGTCAGTGCCTTTATCAGTCTTTCTCTTCTCCTTCAAGGTTAAAGTGATTAGTAAGCCATGTGTTGTTCGCACAAAGTCCTGTTGTTGACTCTTATTCTGCAAGCGACTAAACCTTGTGTGATCAGTGCCAGCTTCGACTGCCAAATCCTCCTGCACTACATTCAGCTCGTCCCAGTGCCAGCATCATGCCTTGAAATGTGTATTGTGAGCTCCCTTCAGAAAATATTTTACAGATGCAAAATGACAACTAGGAGCTTCCTTGCCAGTTGAAAATTTTTGTTCAGGGCCAGGATACTTAATACATAGTTTAGAATTCAAAATTTCAGAAACTTTGAACAGTTTCAGGGGTTGTTTGCTGTGAATGACACATAATGCAGTCTTTTCAGGCTTCTCTCTGCTTGTAATTACTAAAAAAAAATCAGCTGAGTAGACTGGTTAATCTTCTGCAGAGCAGCAATGGTTATTTTGTCTTTTAGCATTGTAACTGTCTTACTGCTGTTTATAAAAATACAAAAATAACACCGCACTCCTGAAGAGTGTGTTTTTGGACTCTGTAGACTGGGTGGTTTCCTGTTTGATAAAATGAGTAGAAAATCACCCAAATGCTGCACTTTCACACCACTGTGTCCAGGTGCGCTGCCAGGTGGTGCTGCTGGCTTCGGGGAAAACTGTGACACTGCAGGAAAGATGCTTAAACTTTGTAATGCAACATTTAGGTGGGATTTTTTTACATTTTTTTACAGCATGAAACTGCTTCTGTTGAAATGTTTGAGCACCTGATCACTTCCAATAAACTAGAAGAAGTCATGAAGTCACATGGTCTTGTCCTGGAAGAAGATATGAACTTCATCAAGGAACAAATAGGGGGGCCTATAGATGAAACCGCATGTGAGAATTCGGTGAGTCAGTGTACTGCTCCTGTGGTTCATTTTACTGAAAGAGCAGATAATTTTTTTTTCTGCTATGTTTTATTATTTATTTTTGGCCCCATGAGATTCTGAGAATCCTGACCCAAGAGATGCCAGAGCAGCGTAGTGTTTATTTCTTACAGTGCTGGCAGGAAGTTGTGGCTTCACTCTGTTATGTGCTTACATCTTCCTGAGAAGTTTTACCTCAGAGGCTTCAGATTAGAGGAAACCTTAAGAATTTTATTAGCATTGAGCCTAATTCACTGCAACTAGGTTGGAAGAACTTGACTTTTTAATGGAAACTGTAAATGACCAGGTTAGGATAACAGCCTGTTTACTGGATGCCTGACGGTGGTGGTGATGGGAGGTCATGTTTTCGGGTGGCTGTATGAAGAAAACGTGGAGATGATTTAGGGTAACAAGCTGATAATGGATAACAAAACTGAGAGCTAGCGGAGATGAGGCAATGAACAATGCAAACCATCGCTCAAATGCTGGAGCTACGTCAGCGTTGATGACAGTAGCAAAATGCTTGGATTTATTGCAGTAACAAACATAGAAGCAGGGAAGAGACTTGAAGAAATGTGTTGCCTCAAGAGGCAAGGAAGAGGAGATTGTGATTATTAATCATTGCAACTCTATGAAAGAATTAAGTCCTCTCTCCACACTTTGCAGCTGTTGTCATATCTTCAAGGACACCCATGCAGTTGCTAGCAGAATTAAAAACCCGTCAGGGGGAGAGCTGTCATGGCGATTTGGTCCTAATCAGAATTTGTATGTTGTCCCAAACAAATCACCCACAAATGTTAGCACTTACCCGTTAGTTTCTGCTGTAGTAGTGTGTAGTTCTACCATGTGTACTCCAGCGCTCTGATGACAAACATAGGGATCTTAGCTTAAAAAAAATCAGTCTGAGATCTTCTAGGAAAGGGATATTCATTTACAAAGTCTGCAAGCTGATTTTTACCTACTTGCACTCATTCGCACACGAATCTTGCTGCCTGCCCCTGCCGTTGGTCTGCCAGGCTGTTACCCAGTGTCTGTTCTTTCTTGTTTGGATTCTGTGCCTGTTCTCCAGCAGGATAACAGGAAGAGAAGTGTCATATGTGATACGTGGCAAACTTCTTGCCACCCTCCTGGAGTTAGGGTGCAGGATCTTCCACTGGCAGTCATTTTGTACTCTCATGGTCTTACCAGAGCAGCGGCTCCTCTGCTGCTGATGTGTCTGTGCTGTGATGCTGTCACGTTGCAGGCCTTCTGGGCCTGACACGAGCAACAGGGGGTTTGTGTGTTGAACAAACGGTGTCCTGAACACTGTCCCAGTAGCAGAGCTCTTTACGGTCAGCACAGGGTATTTTTATCTATGATGTGCTCTCTTCCTGCTGCTTACACACATTTCCGTTCTTATTCATATAAATGTTAATATTTCTGTACTGCAGATAGTACGAGAGCCATTGATCTGTTTGTGTACCATGTTTTCTGCCTTCAGAATTTTGGGGCACACTTTGTGGCATTTTTTGTTTAGCTGAAAAATCATTAAATTTTCAAGAAAATAATGTTTATGTGCAACTTGTATCTTATGATTTCCTGTTTGCCTCATGGCTGAGTTATCCCTTGTGGGTTAGGAGTTTAAGTAGCTGGCTGTTTAAACAATTTTTTTTTTTAAAGGTTTAAGTAATTGTTTTAAAACTCTGTTCTGTGAAGTTGTGTAGTTGATTGCAGGAGACTGGAAGATAGTGACATGTTTGTGGGTTAACTAATTCCCTGAGAATTAAATTATTCCAACCTTTTCACCTCTTTGTTGCTATGCTGCAGGCTTTGCCTTAGTACTTGTGTACATGGTTTTTATTCTTCCTGATTTTCTGGGAAGTCAGCTTCTTAAGCCCTAGTTCTGGATTTCTAATGCCTGGCAGCTTCTGAAAGCTCTTTTATCGCCTTTGTGTCTATCACAGGCAAAATCAAAGTGTATTCTCACTGTCTTTAGAAAATTGTTCTGACATTGTTTGCACACTTTAATTTCTTACTGTTTCTGATTTTTTTTTCTTCTCGGCTCCCCTGTTGTCAGTGGCCCTACCGTGGTCGACAAAAGGAGAAAAGTTTCCTATATGAGATAGTAGCTAACAAAAAAAATGGCATTGACGTTGACAAGTGGGATTATTTTGCAAGGTACAAATCTTTGTTTTTATTATGAATTCTAAGTGAAACAATGCTCCTGTATATTTAAGTATGATCTCATTTTTAAACACTCTGTGGAATATTTTTAGGGATTGCCATCACCTAGGAATCCCGAATAATTTTGATTATAAGCGATTACTTAAATTCACTCGGGTCTGTGAAGTAGAAAACCAGAAGCATATCTGTACCCGTGACAAGGTAAGCGGTGTGTGGGAACTGAGGGAACGCTCAGCAGCAAAATGTGTGTGAGGTACAGCAGCACACTGAGATGAGAGCACATGGGGCATGGCAAAGCCTGCCTCGGGCAGAGCTGCACTCTGTGTGGGGGGATGCCAGGGTTGCCTGCGGGGCTTGTTTAGCCCCTGGGAGGAAGTTGCTGCTCTGAAAGCTGTTCTCAGAAGCAACAGGTTTAAGGAAGCAAGGACAGAGCAAGCCTCTGTTTGAAAGGGTTTGTGGTGGGTCCTTCCAGGTGAGACTACAGAACCATCAGCTGTGCGTGATCCTGCTCCACATCTTCTGGGCAGGAGGTGAATGTGGCCTTGGCCAGGGGCTGCTACAGGAGCAAGAGGTCCTCTTCTCTGCCCGGGCTGCCTGGGGTCGCTGACAGGTCTCTGCTCTCCCATGCCAGCTTGAGTCTGTTTCAAAATTTGTAAATTGTGAAAAATAGCCATTCTGCTCTATGCTGCAAATGGAAGGAGACAATTCATTAGATTCCTTGATTGTTCTAGTTTTCCATTTAAGACAATGTCAAAAGTTAAAGATGGTTGGGATTGTTTTTATTCAGGAAGCTGGAAATTTGTATGATATGTTCCACACACGGAATTGTCTGCACCGGCGAGCATACCAGCATAAGATCGGCAACATCATTGAAATAATGCAAGTATTATACTTTCCTTTTCTTGCATTCCATTTATTTTTAAATTCTTGAAACTGTATGTCCATTTGGAATATTCAGATGATTCATAAGGTGTGACAGAGTAAAAGCAACTGGGCTGTATAACCCAATTCTTGCGGCAAGGCTCAATGCTCAGAGTATCATAGCAGCTGTGATTAACAAAACAAAAAAAAAGAACAACAACATCCTTCTGTTTGAAATTCAATTAGAGGAAAGTTACTAAAGCCCTGAAGAAGCACAGAACCAGGGTGTGCTTGTGCTGTTTTAAATGCTGACAGCTGAAGTCAAATTTTTATCTACAAGTTAGAGACCACTTGGTTCAAACTGGATGGTTAATAGAACAAGGTTACTAACAGAGTAAAGTAAGGAGCAAGCTTACTGTAGCTCAGCTGAGGCCCGACTTTGTGTTTATGTAATGCTA